GATGACAGCTGTTGGGTACTGCACAGATCAACAGGTGTTGCAGAAGATGGAACAGCAGGTGCAGGAGGGACCGAAAGTGAGCTTGAGAGAAGGCCTGTGTGTATGGTGTTAAATTGCTGACAAAAATCAGACAAGCATATTAAGCAATCACGATAGTGCAATTATTAAGCACAACGGCACATGAGCTACGGGGCTGGTCCGGGAACCCCAGCGGACGGGGGCAGAGAGCCAGCGGGGGACGGAGCGACCAAACTTGACCCGGTGACGGTATGCTTCCCCCCGCCTGCCTGCCTTGCCGCGCAGGCGGGGGGAAGCATACCGTCACTGGGTCGCACACTGTCACTGAGTCGGGTGACACAAATAAATGCCCATGTTATTAACCAGCTTTAGACTGTTGGGAGACACTGACTGCACCATTCATTGTCTCTTAACCTGCGGAGCTTTCAGCTAAATCATAATAAATCTGTGATATTGGAACATTTTACATTATAAAAAATACAGAAAGATCTGATTTATTATGAAACTGGTTCATACCAGAAACCAGTTTATGGAGAATATGTTTTTTTTATGTAAAAGTTAAGGTGAGAATGCTCCATTTAATGATCGAATTAAAACAAATCAACATTAACTTAAAATGTCAAAAGGTAGTGGACTTTTTATCAGATGTTATTGGCCAATCATATATCGACGGATATGTAGCGGAAACATTGAAATAAGAAATAAGAAACATATTTCTTATTTCAACCGTTGTGTGTATTAGCTGCAACATATGAATCAAGATGCTATGACCGAAAAAAATTGATTGACAGATTTAGTGAAAGCTTACCAGAAGATTATGAATATATTAAATAACTAGAACTGGAAGTTATAGTTAATTAATAGGTAATTCAAATCAAGGCTAAAACTAGTTATTTATTATCAGTTAAATGATTAAAACTGTAATTTGCTTACTGACCAGGGTTTTAGCCCCTTACTTAAAAGGTTGGACTCCATAATCCGTCTGTTGAAAATCCAGTTGTCTTTCACCAATTTAGTAATTTAGACTATGGCTATCAGCAATGTTATTAACCACCAACCAAATAAATGTGTCTCTGTTTAGTTGGCTGCTACTGAAAGAAGAGTGAATCCAGCTGGAGTGATAACTGTGTAACATTAACACAAAATACCATGGGTTATAATACAATGGTACCTTTATTAGCTACAATCACACAATATTATATCTAATAACTAAGCAAAATTCTAAAAACTACAGAAAATAAGCAAAATCAAAGAAACAATAGGGGAAGAAGGGTTTAAGAGTCTGCAGATTCTGATGTTCGAATTTATGGCTTAATGCATTTGAAAGTGTCCTTTATCATAGCAGCAGATAAAATAATAAACCCTGTAGCGTAGATGTTAATTGCAGGCAAAACAGTGAAGTTTCATTCAATTTATGGTAAAAAAATGTTCTTATTGAGCATCAGATGGAAAGGAGAGGGAAGGGTGAAACTACTTTTATGGTTCAGTGGAGTGAAGTCCTTCAGCTCGGTCTGGATTTCTGCAGAACAGTATTCAGTCCAGTCCATTCATCCAACAGCAATTCAAAGAGATTTGGATCAATGCGATGCAACAATAAGAGGCGAGTTGCAGGGGGTTAATTTTATAACCCATGATAGCACAGGATGTCTCCTGTTTTAGCTGCAGTGGTTAGCTCGTAGCCGCAGCCTGTAGCAGCTCCTCTGTGCTGTTCTGTCTCAGGCGGTCAGGCAGTCATGGTCTGGTGGCATCTAACGGCTCCTTGGGCGAACAGCGATCGTGGGCCCCTTTGTTCGCCAGTTAGCAGAGCTAGATTAGCTCTTCTCTGTCTGTTAGTCCATTGGGGATGCAATAATGGATCTGTATTCCTTGTACAGTATCTTATTAGAAACTGATATTGAATCAAAGAGTTGTCTTAGCTAATTATGTTGCCATGACTGTCTCCTAATTTAGAGATGGTTGTGCTTTTTTTCCATACTGGCTCATAAATGGACTTTTTACGGTTTGTAATAGTTGTTGTTCAATATTATGCATGTGTTTGGGGAAAAGTTATGAATATGGTAGAGTTTCCATGCAGAAAGTGACTCAGGTTGTGTTTATACATGATGTAGATGAACACATCACTGAAGTGTACAGGTTATTCCTACCCACCATCTACTGGGCTGGGATGTAATTTTACAACAATTGGTGTCCCATTTCTTAGGGAGAAAATATTCAGTTGCACTTCCCTCAGTGAGTGTACTTCACTGTGGAGGGGACACACTGGAGTATTCTCAGAACCAAGTGAGAGAAATGGGACTGGGTCTTAGTGCTTTCATATTGATGAAGACAATCAGGTGCTATGACTGTTTTTGGGCTAGGTGGCTGTTTACAACTTTGTGCTCTGCTCCAATCTATTAATTAGTGTGAGCAGATGCACCCTCCTCTCACTTAATCAACCTCACAGCTTTCAACATACCTATTTATACTAGCCTCTTTTTGCCAATATTTGCCAAATTGTCTTCTCCTTGCCTGTATGAGGATTACTCCAATGCCACTGAGCACCACCAGCCGTCATTTCTTCCTATGCTTGCCCTCTCCTCACTGTTTTTGTTCCAGTGTCAAAGTGAAACACCTACATTCCTGAGTGGCAGTGATTCTGTGACTGGCCTTAAATCATCAGACTTTCATCAGCTTATGATTTTAGTCTATTTCTGGACTGTTTCTGCCTAACCAGTTTGTTCAACCTGCCTCCAATCTACCCAAAGCCTGCTTCCAGCCTGTCAGCCCCCATTCTAACTGTTAAAAGCTTGTTCCCAGCCGATTCTGCCTTCAACTGCCTCCTCAAGCCTGCGACCAGTCCTTCTGTTTGCAATCCTGATCATTTTACAAACCTTCAATAAACCTTTCAAACATACACTGTGTCCGGCTGAACATCGGCTTCTATTAGGTTTTCTCATCACATTTTTGTGAATTAGATTTTGAATTTCAAGCAGTCTCTCTCCATAAAATCAAGTATAAACAAATATTTGATAACAAGCTTTTCCTCTTGGTGGATACCATAATGTGTGTTTGACATCTGTATATAATCCATTTCCTTTGATCATATTTCTTCCATTATCATGTGCAGTAAAAGTTCTAGACGTACTCCGTGGATTTCCCATCCGTTCAGCATAACCTCAATAGATTGCTTGTATGCCTCATACTATGAGATCAAAAGCACTGCTTTGCATGCAGCGGAGCTTGAATGTGATCAATAAAGAAATTTTCCAGTGTGCGATGAGGCTGAGAGTGACATCACTCAAATCTCTGAGCTCCGAATGTCTGTTGTAAAGCCAGTCGGAGCCATCAGATCACATACACAGCAGGTGATGGGAATATTTCTATCTCCAGCTGAGAATAGTGTTGTGATCTTGTGGACTGTGTGGTTTTGAAAGAAAAGGATTAACCCTGGTTGTTATATGAAAAAAAAGCAAAAAACAAATTTCCCAACATCTGTGAAGTCTTGGTCATCAATGATGAAACATTAAGCTATCTGTTGTGGAATCCTTTTTATGCAAATGGACCATTAGGGTCTGTAGAGAAAAAACATTTAGTTTTTCTATCGTAGATTGAAGCTGAAATTTTAGAAAATTAACTGTAATTAGTTTACAAAATGAGTTGATTTAAAACTTTGATGTAGCAAAGGTCTTCATGCTGATGTCATTCCACCTTAATTAACAATATGTTTTCCTCTTTTTTTCTGGCATTTCAACTTTTTTCAATATTTCCACTTTTTATCCTTTTTTATAAAGATCCTAAAACTTCCAGTGTTACTGTTGAGTTTCTTTTTGAAAATTTTGTTAATATTTATGTTTTTTCCAGTACTTGCTCTCAGAGTTGGCAAGGTAGAAAATCTTATTCCATCATATAACTCTGCTGTTACATTGAGAAATCTCAACAGCCTAAGATTTAATGCTGAAACTGAACTACTTTCATATTTATGGGTAATCTAATTGGCTGGTTCATCACAAGATAGTGCATCACATATTGTAGCATTTATGCAGAAACTATGAAAAGTAGCTTGGTTTACATTGTGAATCAGATGTCAAATGTACTGTTAAAGATAAAAAATTTTCAAAGATTTTGTCACTAGGCTGATATTTCACAGTAAATCAAAAGCAAACAACTGATCATTGATTAGACTTGTGTGTAATTTTATTTTCTTTTTACCTAATATAATGCTATATATATAACTATGTATGCTATATAGTTACATATATATATATATATATATATATATA